GTTTCACAACATCCACCACTCATTCATACTCGAAGCGATTTCCAAGCTTGGTCTGGGGAAAGCCTTCTATGACTGCGTATGGTCCTTTCTTACAGATCGGAAAGCCGTGATGAAGATTGCAGATATCGAGACCGCAGCAATCGAACTAGAAGCAAGGGGCACGCCGCAAGGGGCAGTGATTTCACCAATGCTGTTCAACATTGCCATGATTGGACTGTTAAAGAAATTATCGAGCATTGAAGGATTGAAGCACAGCATCTACGCAGATGACATTACCATCTGGTGCACAGGTGGAAGCGAGGGGCAGATTAAGAGCGCCCTGCAAGAGGCGATTGACACCGTAGAAGAGTACCTTCGTCCTTCTGGGCTCAAGTGCTCCTCGAGTAAGTCTGAACATTTACTGTATCGGACTGCACACCGGGGACCGAAGCCCAGGGGATGGAAGCCGTGAAACCAGATAAACATCCACCTCCGTACAAATCAAGGGGATGCCATCCAGAGGGTCGACTCCATCAAAGTCCTAGGCATGCTGATAGAGTCTAGCGGCGCCAACAGCAAATCTATAGCCAAGTTAACTTGGGAAACAGACAGTGCGGTTCACCTCATACGCAGAGTGGCCAACAAAAGAAATGGGATCAAGGAAGACAACCTCATCAGGTTGATGCATGCGTTTGTTCTAAGCCACTTCACGTACGAGGCAGCAATGCACAACTGGTCAAGAGCAGAGTCCGAGACACTGAATGTGCTCCTCAGGAAAGTTATCAAGAAGGTCCTGGGCCTACCCATACATACCAGCACCGAGCGTCTGCTTGAGCTTGGCATTCACAACACGCTCGAAGAAACAGCAGAAGCCCAAGAGAGAGCACAGTTTGCAAGGTTATCTACAAGAAGGTCGGGGAGAATGATCCTACAGGAGCTGGGCCAACACCCAATGGCAATCAGACGCAATTACAATGATATCCCTGACAACATCAGGGAGAATATCCCGGTGTCTGCTATACCAAGAAACATGCATCCAGAGCACAACGTCGGAAAAAGAGTAGCGAGGGCCAGGACTATACTTCGTCAAGTCTCAAACGAGGAACGAGGGGTCGTATTTGTTGACGCGGCTTCCTACGCTATTGGGAAAGCGTTTGTGGCAGTGGTGGTCGATGGGGCTGGCCATGTCGTCAACTCAGCGACGGTCAGGACGAAAGACCCAATCATTGTGGAACAGGTGGCCATCGCCTTAGCACTCAAGATGGATAACATTGAAGTCGTCTACAGTGATTCCATGGCAGCACTACTGGCGTTCGCCAAGGGGACGGTCTCTGAACGAACGCTGAGAATACTGCAAGGCAAGAACATAACGCATCATCTTCTGAGTTGGTTCCCAGCTCACCTTGGGCAAATCAACGATTCCCCTCCCAATCTCAATGAAGCAGCACACGAGGCGGCGCGAGGACTCTCCAACCGCGCCTCCCCGGGGATGCGTTCTACCGGTGAAGGGGATAACAGGGAAATTTTTACAACATACAACGAGCTCACTAAACATTTCTACCTATCTAGAAGGATTTTCCCTCCACCTCACAAAAATCAAACCCGGCCCCAAGCACTTACATTAAGGCTTTTGCAAATGCGGATGTACCCTACCTTGAAAATGTTACACATCATGCACCCTGACCTATACCCAAGTAATCTTTGTCCACATTGTGGGGAAATAGCTTCATTAGAACACATGCTCTGGCAGTGCACCAAATTCGCTCATATATCGAACATCACCTCTGCCAGATGGGAGGCGGCAATCCGCAGCTCGTCCTTGGCAGATCAGCTCTGGGCTGTCCACCAAGCCCGCGAGGCGGCTGAGGAGCTTGGCATCCGAGTCCCCACGTGGGAGCTGCCCGCAACACAGTTATCTGTGTTTTGGAGGACCAAATAAAAGTTTATTCAATCCAATCCCCACTGCTCAGCACGAGACCAACGAAGGCACACATGCCGCCGCCAGCCGCGGCCGCTCACTGCTTGACCAGCTCCACTACGCAACACGTAACCAAAACAACGCCGCCATTGTGCCCAGTGAATATGGCCGCCGTGATGTCATTTCCGCCACACTTTTTGCGCCGCGTGCCGGCTGGGCATGCCCTCTCCTACATTTCCTTCCTCCGTGCCGCCAGACGTGGCATCGCGGGCGTCACGCGACGAAACAAACGCCGGCGTGCGTCACGTCGTGTTGTACTGGCACCTTGAGTGTTTAATGTAGTCATCTTTTCACATGTCATCTTTCACATCATGTTTGCACCAGTCGCATACCTTCGCCGTCCATTTATGTGACGTAATACCAAATTTGGCATATGTGAATACTGCAAAACGGTCGCGATCGCATCATGAGTCTGGCATGTAGTCAAGTTGTTACATGACACGCATGTCATGTATATTATGTTTAAACGTGTTATTTACTGATGTCGTCCGTTCGCGTCACGTAATACTGAATTTGGTACATGTGAAGCTAGCGAAACGGCTGTGAGCGTATCATGAACATAGCATGTAGTCATGTTTTTACATGACACGCATAACATGATTGTCACGTTTGCATCAATCACATACCTTCGTCAGCCATTCACGTCCCGTAATACCAAATTTGGTATATGCGAAGCTAGTGAAACGGGCACGAGCGCATAATGAGTGTGCAATGTAGTCATGTTGTTACATGACACGCATGTCATGATTTTTATGTTAGCGTTTGTCGGTTGTCTTCGCCATGTAGTCATGCCATACCATGCCAGTTTTGTAACTATGTCATGTGAACGAAACACCCCCCCCCAAGAGAAGCAAGACCATGAAGTGTAAATCATGACATTGATGGCATGCATGTCGCGAATTTTCATCTTTTGACTAGTCACTTATGCTCGTCATACAGTCATGTTATGCCATACCAAGTTTGGTATTGATAACATTATCGAAATGACCAGGAGAGCTAAAAGTCGTAGGCGGATAGATAGATAGATAGATAGATAGATAGACAGATAGATAGATATATAGATAGATAGATAGATACGATCAAAGTCGCCGAAGTGCGCTAAGTGTTTTTTTTTTGTGCTAGTGCTGTTTATACAAGGAATCACAGCTTTGCCGCAAAGATGAAGCAATGAACGCGATAGCAACAAATAAGAAGGTGGCGCACATAATGGAGAGCAGATCGAAACGTGCGCCACGTTTCTCAAGCACAAATTACGCACGAAACTTACTCACAAGCACACAGATGAACGCGAATAAGTGTCTCAGTAGTTACTTCGCTCTGTCTGAAAAGCGCACCCTTTTCGCAAACGAAGGCTGTGCGTCAACGACTGCAGTGACCTTTGTGCGCCCCATAACTAGAACAGAATCGTTCCAGTTAAGCCCAACGCCAGCCGGGAAATATGGGCGCTCGAGAGATCGTCCACTACACTTTCCTCCTTCCCGTGGTCCAGAGTGCGCGTGAGATATGAGAGCCGCTGCGCGCTCATTGCGCCATCTTGCTGATAATGCTTCCAATTTGTTGCTATCGCGTTCATTGCTTCGCCTTTTAGGGAAAGCTGTGACTTTTTTTCTTTCTTGTGTTTTCACATTTATAGGTACGTATACATGTACGGTGCATGACATCGACGCCGACACCGGTGGCGAAATTCAGCCGGAAGTGTCCACATAATTGCTATAGCAATAATAAATGTTCTCCGCCTTTTTTTTTGAAATGGCTGGTCTTTTTTGGCACAGTTTATTTCGAGGCATCTGTGAAATCTTTGAATGTTTTATTTTATGAATATTAAAATATGCACGTCACCTGAACTTTTTCATAAACACTACCTTAAGGAAACGGAAGAAAGAACGCGCACAGCTAGATTTAACGTATAAAAATACACCCTAGAATTCTGTATCAATACCAAAACCCCATTCGGCGATTTAATAATATTTCAATATTATTTATAAAAAAATACGTTTCATTTTTTAAAAGTTTCGTGGATAAGCTTCATACGGTTTTTAAAAGTTTTCTATGTGCATAACCTAATTGTTAATTGCGTTCGCAATATCTGCAGTGGATATTTCTGGTAAAAGCGCTAGGTGAATTGGCTATGTTGATTGAGTTAAAATAGTTGAAACACTCTGCTCTGTAGCAGTGGTGCTTCAAGTTTCTTATCAGCTAGACACGTCGTGTCAGCTCCATTCATAGCTGGGCAAAGAAGTTGGAGCTCACTCAGCTTCCGTAAAAAATATTCTGCTATTACGGCTCACTTTGACTAGAACTCACCAGAATTTTTTTAATCTAATCTCTCAGACTCAAGCATGACGTATTGCTCAGCCATGCTCACTCAGACTCGGGCTCATGGCTTGGCTTTAGTTGGAGTGGGCCCTGAATGAGTAGACTCATGAGTTTGTGAGCGTAAATTCAGCTTTTGGTCCTGGTGTCGAAGTTTTAATGACAGTGTCTCATAACCGGTGCCTTACATGACTCACGTGATATATCTTTTATCAAGAACTTCCTGTGAAAGGAGACCACGTGGAGGCGGCAGCCCTCCCTATTCATGTATTCGACCAAAAAACATTAAGCGGGTGCATTAACACGAGTGTGTAGAGACGACTGAAAATAGCGCAAAGAAACGGGGACACAAAAAGAGGACACATGACACTTACACTTAGCGCTTGTGTCGTGTGTCCTCATCTTGTTTTTCTGTTTGTTTGCGCTATATTAGGTCATCACAATGTACCATCAAGCCCAAATTTTGACGGAGTGTGTATAGGTACGTGTGAAGCAGCTTACAAATCTAAGGCGATATAAAGCTCACATTAACAATAAAGATCGGTAGATAGGACCATTGGTCGGCAAATAAAAGCGGAGGTCACAGAATTCAAGAATAATGTTTTTTGGTTTGGGCTTACTCGCATTCAGACTCGCCTATATGATCTATGTAGTTCACTCATGAGTGAGGTTGCTAACGTATGGCTGCATGACGTCATCTCATCTTTCTCATATTGTGAAATGGACTTACCCAAAACCGGTGACGGTTGCGTGTGCGCAGAAAGGTGTGGTCTGTTGCGCGTCTGATAAGGAGACCTTGGCCGCACGGGTACGTCTTGTATAACTTTGACTTCAGCCGTGCTGGTTGCCTTGTCTTCCTTCGAGGTGTCACTGATATCAGGCAGAACCGCAGATTCAGCCAGCGACTGCTCGGAAATCTGGAGCTTTGGCTCCGATGAATCCGGATGCAAATCTGCGGAAAGTTTGGTGCACACTTGTGATAACAGTTACAGTGATTAGAAAACTATATATGAAATATGGTACAGAAGTTGCCGTGAAAGTGGCAGCACGTAAACGGAGCCGTTCCTTTTCTGGTGAGCCACAGTATGTACTCTGCTCTCAATAGTGCTGGTAGGTCATTGTAACGAGTATCGTGCAGTCATAGTGCGCTGTGCGAGTTGTGCTGAGTCGTCATCCTCTATCCTCTGCGATCCACTTCGAATGCCGCTTTAGGCCGAACTTGCGTACTAGTTGTGCGAGTCCCAAGGGACGGTTGTCAGCTCTCCCATAGTTGAGTAGGGAGTACTCTGAATTGTTAACCACATTTTCCTAACAGACTTCCTCCTCGAAGAGAGCGAAAGCGTCAAAACGCACCGGAGGTTCAATAGCTTACCCGCCTATAAGCGGCCAGAAAACCACGCCGCGAGTCCGGCTCGCAAAAATCTGTCTTCGACCGAGTTTGTCAGCCACGCGAAAGCGGATTGCCTTTCCGCTTGTCGGCTCTGGCTGCACTGAAACTACTTGATCTAAATAGCCGGCCACAGATTCAACATGGCGAGGAAGACGTCAGTTGTGGCTCCCATCAGCTCACATTGAAAACAACTCATGCAGCACGAAGAAGCTGCAGCCTCAACGAGGGCGCATTCATCGAGAGCCTTGTTTGGATTCAGATTGCTGAGAACACTGGAAGTAGACGGTGCAGCAGCAGTGATTCGGCATAGCCGAACGTCTCTCGCTTTGGCGCATCCAGCTGAATCTGCCGCCGTCACTGCTGGTGCGTTCGCTCGTTTCTATTCTGTCTGAGTATCTCCCAAAACAACGTTTCTTTTCAGTACTTTGCGTGAAGATCTAGAGTTCGGTATGAAATTCAGTGCTAAGAGGAGAGGCGAAATTCAATCAATTCTCAAAGCAAAGTTGCCAGTGGCATCACCGAGAAAGAGAACGAATGTGAACATTTTCGACGCACGCGGACGTTTTTCCGGCTGCTCCGGCGCTTTCGTTTTCGCTTGATTTATCAAGTAGGAAATGTGGCCGAATCGTCTCAAAACGAGTCATTCACACGATGAATGAGCAACATCATGCACTTATGCGCAAAATATTCTACACTGTGGTCAAAAAATTACATGAACATGCTAGAAATTTCCGTATTTGGTTTTGGGACGTTAAACCCCAACTATTTTCATTAAATTTGCACACACTCTTACAGTGTCGGATAAAATTAGTGCTTTCAAGACTCATTGTATGAATTTATTGCGTATGTAGAATTGTTGCTTAATAAAGTCGATTCGTTGGCGACTGACTTTACACTATGATGACTCTATGATGACTACGATGAGGACTTTCTTTTCGAATTTTTTACATATTGTTCACGTGACAAAAAAAAAGCAGTTCAACTTGATAACATTTAGTCCTACAAAATTCACCAGTCAGGAGCGATATTCCTTATGGCCAATTGTTTGTTAGTTTAGAATTACACAACATTCACAATACTTTTTGCCAGCACCTAAGCTGGACGAATAATGCGAGGGTTTAAAATATACTTTGCGAGCAATAGTTTTCAGAAATGGCACCGAGGTTAAGAGCACTTCTATTTCGGCGCCTCGTACGCTGGTTGTTATTATTGCTTAACTGAACTGGAGTTCTTGAACAGGGAGAGTACTGGGTAATCACAATCGATGAGTTTTAATGCACCAAAACCGCAATACGATTATGAGAGACACCGCGATGGAGGCCTCAGTAAATGTTTGACCATTCGGGGTTCTTTATATGCACCTAAATCCAAGTATGCAGTATTCAAGCCTTTTCGCCTTCATGGAAAGTTAGCCGCCGTATCCGGGATTTGATCCCACGACCTGCGGGTGAGCAGCTTGTAGCGCTACAACTCGTAGCCTGCGCTGTGTTGTTTGACAGTTGCGCGCTAATCTACGAATGTGGTGCTTAGGTAGTATGTTCACCTCTCACCTAAAATAACCGCGCTGGAGTTGCAGATCTAGATGGTGACTTTTTATTTTCAGAGCCACTTGCTAAGTATCATTTTTTGTTTGAAAACTAGTTGCAGTTGGTGCTTATCGTCACGAGCAAAAATTTAACGTGAAATGAAGCGAAATGAAGGAAATTTCGACAGCTGAATTTTTCGTACCATGACCTCAAAAACAAATTATTTTGGCGTCCGAGATTTACGCGAATATGAAAACCGGCCAGGGTGAGTTCGACACGCTGCTCTTAGTTGCCGGTTGCTGATGCGCAGCAAAAGAATACGTAGAGTTATGGCAGAGAACAGTTATGTTGATATGCGTGTGGCCACGCTCACAATATTTACGCTTTTCTGGTTTATCATATGTTACTGGACGTTTCAGGTTACTTTCTGCAGTAATATGCAGCAATCGAAAAACACAGATGTGAAGTGAAAATAAAGAAAGCCGACCCTGCGAGAAATCATCTGCATCAATACCGCACGGCACTCCACAAGAACGTAAAGCATGGCTTCGTGAGGTGTTCGCGAAGACGCGAATCGGAACAAAATTTTCTCATCGTACGTTACTTTTTGCAGAAATAAGAAGCAACTGAATTTAGAGTAAGACACTTGGAAAGTTACTACAGCCATATCGAGCGACCCTAAAAATGATAACCCACAATTTACAGCTGCGTTTAGAACACGGGCCGTTTGAGTAGGAAACGGCCATTCTACCCCTGAACCTCTTTTTCGGAGCCGCGCTCAACTCTCTTAAACGGCATGCAGGCTACCGATCACTGCGTCAAGATTAGCTTGACCTTGTTAGAGCTTCGCTTTCTGTATATTGGTGTGGACAGTCAGAGTGCGAGTGATTATTATTATTATTATTATTATTATTATTATTATTATTATTATTATTATTATTATTATTATAATAATAAAGATGATTGCGTACTGTTACCGGGCTCTGTGGAGAGCTCTTGGTCCGGGATGGGCAACGCGTCGAGGATGAGAGGAGACGGTTCCTCCTCCATGTGAGTGCTCAGTTCCTCGGGGCTTCGTTCGGGCGGGTGCTCCATCTCGAGCAGCGCCTCCAGCTCGGGCTCCTCTGGGATCGGCGCCAGGTGCTGGGACACGGGTGACTGCTGTCCCAACGAGTCGTCGCCCTCCGACACGCTCAGGTCTGCGAAGCCGGTAGAAGGCGTGTAGTCTCAAATTAGGCTTATAATATATCGGGACGTGGTACCTAACGTCAAGCGGGATGGGTGAGCGGTCAATGTCGAACATACGCACGAACGCCAATAGTCTATGTTCTTTGATTGCTGGAGTAATCGCCTTGGTTGTCACCTTATATCCCGCCTGTATATAACACACCTATGCACTGTTATAGAGTGTAACATACCTGCCATCGCATATGTGCGTTTACGATTCCCCTTGTCACGGTGAAAAACTTGTAGCAGCGGGAAATGTAGTAAATAAGATGCGTGCTTGCTCTCTGCCCCATAAAACCCTGTACGAGCAAAGCTACTCCCTGTACAAGCTACATCGTAGTGTAGGTCGGTTAATGTATCATCGTCATCCAATTCGGACATTCCACGCATTTCAGCTACCGTCAATCACTCACTGCGTACCTCAGCTCGTTACCAAGGACGAAATTAAAACATGTCCAGTTCTGAATCTTCTGGAAGGCACGACCACGGATTGCATTAGGATGCGTCTTTGGAATCTGTATATACCGCAGTACCAGAGACCGTTGTAAGCCCAAACATACCCAACGGATCAGCTGTGATGGTGTGCTTCGGGGGGAGGGAAACGTCCGAGAATCCTGAAATGAGGGCGCCATCTCCTGGTGGGAAGTCCTTGTCTGGGTCACCGTCCAAGAGACTGTCCTCGCTGTTATAGAGCGTGTCAGAATACATACGCACACCTGTCAAACACCTGTTCGTGGCGATATATGACCAAACTACCAAACTAGCCGTCATCTATGAATTAACGCTTATGAGTTTACAATATAGCACGGAAAGTTACTCTCACGATCTGGAACGAAGAGGAAGTATGAAGGCAGATACACGAAGAGAATGCTGTAGGGGCGAAACAGTGCAAATCAAATCGTAGACTTATGTTCTGTTTCTGTTATCTGCCTTTCATTTTCTTATTGCTAAGCTTTTGTTCTTTCATGTGTTTTGATTGATGGGGTGGGATACGTTTTGTTGTTTTCAGTGTTGGGGCCTTTCATTTTGTAGACTATATGCTCGCTATTTACCCCCTGTAGATGGTCTTACGCACGCATGTTTCGCACCTGCGTTTCAAATGTGCCAGGCGCCCACTCGAATTGAAGCCGGATGAACCTTGTGAAGTGGTAAGGAGCTTCACTCCTAACAAGACGCGAGAACTACACTTTCTGACCAAATTAATCACACATTTCTCTATATCGTTGGTGTTTTTAGAATGAAAGCATTGCAGTTATCACTCACTTTTTTTGTCACATAAATGGTAACTTGCAGCACCGCTTCGGAACGGTATACAATGCATGCAGGGGCTTCTGTTCATAAACACAGCACTCCGCCTGTTGTATTTCACGCCACCATTTACTGGCAAATCGCGTAACACACCTTGCAACGTCCACGAGTTCATGTCTACAAGTAGACATACAGGACTGGTCAAAAGTTTCCAGACCACTATCCCGTGTATTTCGATGCCAGCATGACGTGTAAACTTTTGACCCCGCACCCCCCACCAGTGTACCTTTGATTGGGACTATCTACACAGCTACGTTACATGCGATCGCGCTGTAGTTTAGGTTTATAGTGCCGCACTGTTTGGCTCCCACGTATAAGAATAACTGATATGAAAGCTTACTCTAGAGACAGTCCAGACTTTTCAGATGGCATATCCTCAAATGCACCCGAACGTTTCTGAAATGAAGCAGTGTAACATTTATTATAGCATCATCAGTGCACCATGATTATGTGACGTTATTGGCCACTAGAGTTAACTATAGTATTTGCCATTGGTAGGTATAGTACGTGTACGTTTTTTGGTTCGCACTTCAGTTTCGGCTCCCTGAATTTAAAAGGCATGATTTGGGCGTCTTTGCCCCAAAACTGTAACTGCCCTCTGTCTAGGGTGCCTTGCCATGCGTTATCACCAGGTGCGTGGCACTCACAGGTCCCCGATCAGCCTACATGCTAATACTACCATCGCAAAGCGGCATTCTTCGCAGGTAAGTGTCGAGCTTGTTTTCAAGAAAGAAGGGGTAAGAAATGGAAGTTATTGTTGCTGAACTGAAAGACAGCCAAGGCACTGTTTCGCTTTTGAGTACCATTTTTTCCGTCATGGTTGTTTTATAGCCATGTGGGACGGAGAGTATATGCACACGATTTTCATCTCTTTGGATAATAAGTTTCGTCACCTTTAGATAGATAAATAGATAGATAGATAGATAGATAGATAGATAGATAGATAGATAGATAGATAGATAGATAGATAGATAGATAGATAGATAGATAGATAGATAGATAGATACTGCTAAATCTCTGCTTAGCAACTGGTGTCAAGCTGAAAACGGTGAAGCGAGAGGCGCCACGGTGGCCTAGTGGCTAAGCGTTCGGCTACTGACTCGCAGGTCACGGAATTGATTGATTGATCTTGTGGGGTTTAACGTCCCAAAACCACCATTTGATTATGAGAGACGCCGTAGTGGAGGACTCCGGAAATTTGACCACCTGGTCACGGGATCACAGGATCAAATGGTCACGGTATCAAATGCCGGCTTCAACAGCCGCATTTTCGGTGGAGATGAAAATACTTAGGCCCGTGTGCTCAGATTTAGATGCATGTTAAAGAGCCCCTGATGGCCAAAATTTCCCAAGCCTTTCACTACGGCGTCTCTCAACCATATGGTGGTTTTGGGACGTTAAACCTGAACAAATAAAAGAAGAACGATGAAGCGAAGAGCGTTGTGAGCGTACCGCCGTTGCCGTGTAGCTGGAGCGCGCCACCGTGACCGAGACGTCAAGGTCACACTCGAGGCTGGAATTTCGGGTGGCCACCCGAGCCAGCTCTTCTGCAATGTCACGATCCGCCTCGCTGTGCCAGTCGTCCTCGGTGCAGGCGGCCATTTTGCCTTGATGTTACCACGGCAGTAGGAATCTGGAATGCCTGCGCAAGATACCACGTGGCACGTTTTAATAAGCAGCTTGCGGCCCACAAAACACGGTCACAGCTTTACAAGTTGAGTACCTATAAAGTCGCTCTTTTAAGACACCGCTTGTGAAAAGATGAAAATAACGCCAGTGAAACTACAGGCTTGCATATACTACTTTCATGAGGTCGAAGCGGTTAAATTTGTGTTTGGAAGCTTTTCTTTATTATTCAGTTTTCGGGAAGGGGTTTACTATGTGAAAATAAGGGCCATGGTATTTAAAGACCACGCTGGCATCTAAAGACGTTATCTCAAGGACTTAAGAGCAGTGATGTAAAGAACATCTAGGCATAGCTATGTCACCGCTTGTCCACAAGCTTATCCTCTGGCTTACAAAACTTCCTATTACACGGAGTGCTCCTGAATAAACCTAGTTTAATATAACAAATGATATTTATGAGCATTCGTAATATACTTATCTGCATAACTATCCTCAACATTTATTTTACGATGACGGCCGAAGTAACTACACGAGAAGCTAACGCATCAAGCTTTTTTCTGCGTCTAAAGTGTGCATCGGAATATAATCGGATGTACCAACTGTATAAAGCCACAAGCGCGACTTGAAAAGCGCAGAAAAGCCTTACAGTGATGTAGGTCTACGCTTTGCGGGAAAGCAAAATTTAAAAGGCATGCTTATAGCATCATTTTGATACTAGAGTACAGCCTGCGCGAGAAGCAAACATCGCTTTCAGCAAATTGCGTTATTCTACTGCCAGTCACCCCTTGAAGTAGTAGGCGTGGTGATTTACTGGTGCACCGAAGAGGTGGGGGCGGGTTGCAGCCTCGGGTGAAGACGAGCTCTTAAAATAGTAATGCTGTAATACATTTCTTATGGCCTGCAGAATGACTATGACCTTCATGAGAGAAGATATAGAGTGGGCCACACACAGAGGATGAATAAAGTACAGGGCACAAATTGTACTAATAAAGTAATGGTGTCGACAGCTACCAAACAGCGTGATCACAAAAGCAGCAGCATAATAAAACCTAAGACGAAATTCTTAACATGTACATTTCAAAATTACTTAACATGTACATTTCCTTCTGTCGGGAACACAGTGTTCTGAGATAAATGAAATGAAACTATTTTTTTAAAGCCATGCCGGACAACGGTTCGGTTGAAACACAGGCTGACCAGGAGCCAATATTTTATATAAGCCTGGGTCTTTTTTTTTATTGGCGCCAGTATAGCCTGAGGCATAAGTTAATAAAAGAAAAACAGCATATCCTCGGAGTGCATGATGATTAGAGGGGCGAAGCGTCTGTCCGTCAGTTCATTCTTGCTTCCATCCGTCCGTGCGTTCATTCGTCAATGTGTCCATTCATGCGTCCGTCACTGTGTCCGTCCATGCGTCCGTACATGCATGCGTCTGTCTGTCTATCCATCCAGGCGTCTGTCTATCCGTCCGTCCATTTTGTGAACACTCCAAGTACCGCCATCTCGCATTTTTTCATTCTATAATCATCATGTAGAAGTACCGCCATCCAGCGGACATTCCAAGGACTAAATGAGAGGTGGCACAGCCGGGCTAGAGGAGTGGCAAACGCGCACTCTATTATGGCCTGCGCTTCGTGTCTAGTTTCCACCTTTCACCAGCACTAGTTCATGGCACTGCAGTCCAACCCTCGCTAAACCTCGCTAAAACAAAGGAGGTTACGCCCAGTGAGTTTAACGTGGCAAAGTTTGCTGGTCAGATGGTGCTCAAAGTGCCTACTTTCGTTAGTGGTTTTTTAAAGGCGATAGTCTTCCTTGGGGACCTTTAACGCAAAAATTTTTGCATGTCTGTCGGTAAACTTGTCTGTTTGTCCACGCGTAACGATATTAGATACTCTGGTCGGCCGATACCCCAAACGTCGACCCCATCCGCAGCGCCCACCAATGTTGCTCAAGGTTCAGCGTTCATACTTGTGCGATTGTCAATTAAAAAGCAATTATTGCGCATACCTGAGGCACCATAACAACACGTTGATATTCTGTATGTGTATCTTTTACTAGAAAAGGCATAAATAGATAATACTAAGGACCGTAGCGTTTATCACGCTGCGTTGACCATGCAACGCTTGCACGAAAAGGCGAGTGTTTGTAACGCTTTGCTAAGACGACACGGTGGTGGCACCTACCCGTCGCCTTGCGTTCTACAACTTATCACCTCTGAGACGGGTGCGCACGCCCGTCTCAGAGTTAGGCGCTTCGTTTTCCAAGAAACTGCCAGATGGCGCTCATGTTTCACGTGTGACGCGACTTGATGCGTTAGTTCGCCTCCGCTGTACGCTCGAGGCACTCTAATGCAGCGCCCCCAGAATACCATTAACCGATTTCTTGCGCAGAACATCAAATAATTATTTTGTTAACTGTCTCCATATGCAAGATTATCGTGTTTCGACGAAATTTGCAGATTAAATTGCAGATACGGGACCAATTTTTTAGTAAGCATCGAATTCAAGGAAAATTTTATTGCAGATTGAGTCACCGATACTCGTCTCTGTAGGTTATTTTATAAGAAACAAATATCGTTTTATTTATGAATATTGTTCGCGGGGGGCCTCCTCAATTCAAAAGAGTGCACGCGTGCCGATCCTCTAGTGTGGCGGTGGACGTTGCTATCCTACTACTACTACGACGATGACTACTACTACTACTACATACATCGCGGGCGCACGGCCCATGGCTTAAGGAGCTTCGCCCCTAAAAACTCCGTTTCATGCATGAAGGCCAGGAGAGGTCGATACAGTGGACCGCGCGTCCAGGTGGTCGGCTGGGGTGGTAGTGACGAACAAAGTTGATGTTCTAAGCTACAAAAGTGATTGTGTTGGGTCCGAGACACCCCTGAATGAATATGTAGCGATTTGATGGCGTCCAAGGTAGAGATGTAATCGTCACTAAGTTAATAAGAAGATGACGTGCTACAGCCGAGGAAGAAAGCGAGAGGCGGAACCAGAGCAGCGGTTATGGCGTGCAGCCAGCCAAAGCAGCGAAGTGTTTCAGCTGCTCCGAGCCACGAGCCACCGGTGCTGGGCGTCTTAATCCCATCGACTGGCTCCCACTAACGCGGAGCTAGTTGCGCTAGCACAGTGCTAGTGGCAGCCAGCCGGCAGGAGAGAATCGAGGCTACAAAGACCCTTAAGGGGGCCGGGCATCCCTGAACGGACTTGCGGTGACGTGACAGGGTCCAAGGTAGACGTGCCGTCGTCACTTGTTCAATGAAGAAGGAAGGTAACCAGCTAAGGAAGGAAGCGAGAGGCCGAAGCAGAGCAGCGGCTGTGGCGTCCAGCCAGCCAAAAGCGCCTGAGCGTTCTGACTGCTTCGCGCCACGAGCCACTGGCACGCGTCGTCCCTTTCTCCTGCCCTGTCGGCCGCTAGGCGCTACGCCACAAACCATATCTTTAGGCTTAGCTTTCTAGTAGCTTCGACGTGAAGGAGGTGAAGAGGTATCGGTCATTTCAAGAGGCACAAACCACTGGCCAAAGATGCTGTAAATAACCAATGTTTGCACGAGGCGCCGCGTCTTTCCAGATGAGAGCTGTGCTCTTTTCAAAGGGCCGGCACCGAATCTCCTCGACCCATGTCAGATATGTTCCATTACCTGCCGCGAGATTGTTCGAGAATTTTTATCGCAAACAATCAAACAACAAAAGTGACTGCCTATCAGCAGGCATCTGCGAGTACCTTTCGTCATTTGCCTAGACAAGCTACGGCATGGTAAACCGGAAGGATACGCGACGGTAAGTTGAAGAGAAGGTACTTACCAATGTGGGCCTGCGGACGACCTCGCTGAGCGACTGTCTTCTGCGGGAACACCACGCGACTGCGAGGCCTCGAACGACGCCGCGTGACCTGCATGAGCCGCACGAGCACGCACTTCTTCTGCCTCTCCATTTGTTTTGTCGTTGGGGGGGGGGGGGCGGCCTTTGAACGAAGGTAACGAAAAGAAAATTCAATGAGTAAAATCTGTCTCACAGGCACCATTTTTGAAATGTATACAGCGCTAGTGCGAATTATATTCCATAGAGCTCCACAAAACTGGTCAAGACGACGGTACTTTTTTTCATTTGTAACCGCCTATATAGAATGGCAATAATCTACCATATTCATCAACAGAGGGGATAGGTCAAGAACCGAGAGACAGCAAATATGTACGAAATACTTATTAGAAGAGAGAAAACAAAAGTACAAGAATGAAAGATTACAATAAACAAAAAAGCAGTAGATACGTAAGCAATTCATCGGAGACCAATTTATGAAAGTGGTTAAAGTTCCCCTTGACAAGGCCGCACAGAAATATTACAATTATGAAGCTTTTTATTTGAAAGAAGTTATATTGGTTCATCATAAGAGGAAATCTAAGGAAGAAAAACAACACGTTGCCATGCAAAGCAGAAGGTGCGCTTCTCATTGTAAGTGTGCCTTCTCCTTTTGGCACGTCTGATGCCTAGAAACAACCTTTTTTTTTTTCAACACAACAGACTTTCCCGGGTGGTTATGTGCCTGTTGTGATGTGTACTGGACAATACAGATTGACAATGACAATGTGGTCCAGCTGTCTTTCACAATCTCTTTCGTTATTTAGTTTTCTAACATTTGATTTCCATTTCACTTTCCTCAGGATCGGGTAGCATACTAGATATTTGAAACTGGTTTGTTTTGTTTTGTTTCCCTGGGAGGTTGGCTCATACCCACTCAGGGGGATTGGCCAAGAAAGTGTAGTGGTGAACGTTCCTGCCTTTTCTTTTTCTTCTGTTTTATCTTCTTTCTCTGTTCGCTAACTAAAGTTGAGGGACCACTACATGTGCACGTGATGAGCCAACCCTCTTTATTATGAATAACATTCTTGGCATCGTAAGACCAAATTAGATTTAGACTGTCTAGCCAGTTGTATGGGCTGATCTGGAGAGTATGGTGCGATCTGCAAGGAA